ATTAGTAGGCTATAAAAGGTAGGTTTGGTTGACACACCGGACTTGTGAAATACCAAAGAGGGAAATAGGGGACAGGATCAGACAGAGAGTTAATGGATCACCCTCAGTGGGTCTTGTTGCTCAATATTTTGCAGGCTTAGGCCTGGGACTATAGTTCCTGGGCTAAAGGATTGGACTGTGTTTGGGAGAATCCTGATCCTTGAAGCCTATAGGTGCAGCCCCATTCCCCTCCCTCATCCTCAATGATCCTTCTATTCATACTAGAGGGCAGTGCCACCTCCTCTAAGAGAAGTGAAGTCCTGTTTTTGACTTGGTATTTTTCTTGGAAACTTCCCTTAGACCTTGTCTCTCTAAAATCCTTAAATGCTCAGCTTTTGACTGAGACCTTTGCCACAGGTAGAGGATGATATTTCATGTCTCCCTCTGCCATGTCTAGAAAAAGGAATTAGAAACTCTGATCAAGGAAGCTGAAAGGCACCTTCAGCCTTTTCTGCATCCTTTTGAACAGCTTTAGCATAGTAAATAGACTACCTTAGGGTGAGAGAGTTTAAGCTCCTGTGAAGAGTCCAAGGGTGCTTTGACTGAAAGTGGAGGGGAAACTGCTGGGAAGAACTTTTGACTTTAAGCCTAGATTCAGGGTGAGTTGATAATGGAAAAAATTAAATATGAGTGAGAAAGGTATCAAATTATACCTCAGGCATTTCTTTAAAAAAGGCTTGTTCTAAAAGAATTAACTGCTTTACTGGCTGATATGTTTGAGTTCAGCTGTTTTAATAGATTATTTTTTACAATAAAAGGGAGGAAAAGTTTGCTTAACTATTTTAAACATGCCTGTGACTTAAGTCTTATTGCTTTGGTCCATGTGATTGTGGCAAGCCATTGCCAATAACCCCTTGAAAGTAGAATTTGGAAAACTAAAAGCACAAAGTAAAAACAAATGTTCAAAGGGATTTATTTTAGGGGCCAGGGTAGGGGCTTGAAAGGCAGGGTGGACAGGGGAAGGGAGAAAAAGAACAAAACAAACGGAATTGCTCAATTCAATCCACTACGTCTATATCTTTCATCCTGACAATATCTCCTACATCTCTTCCTTTCACGTTCAGAATATAACCCTGAGGCCCAGTAAGATGCTCACCTATCTAGCAAGGACAATTCAATTATGTTCCTTAAACTCCCCTTACTTAGACAGGAAAAGAGACCATGACAATTGTGGAAAGAGTTTGAATAATAAGCAATAAGAAAACAAAAGAACTTCTTCTTAGCCCTGAATTATTCAAACAACACAATTAACCAGACTCTTCTCCTCCCCCCTATTCCCTAGGCATTCCAGTCAACTGAGGTCACAGTAGACTGTGGATTCAGATGTATGTTTGCTGGAAGATTTTTTTTCCTGGCACTAATCTCATAGTATCTGAGTTATAAATTATGCTCATTAAATACTTTCTAGAGATTCAAATGAAATGAAAAAGAAAACAAAGTGCCTCCTACTTTTTTTCTGTGAAAATAGAGACCTTCTTATCTTAGTCCAAGTTGGGCCTGTTATTTTGGAATGACTAAACTTGGAGGTAGGTGGTTCTCTCCCCTTCCTTAAGGTTCACATCCATTGCAGTTTACATTCAAGTGGCCTTTTTGGTGATAGCTGTGTAATGAACAAAACTTATTAAATTTACTTCCCAGGAGCCCCCCTCACACTGGAATTAGGCTTAAATAACCCTGTAGACTGGTCATTCTCAGAGATATAGTCATTCACTAATTTCTTGCCCAGGAAGAACAATTTGTTGAACTGGAGTGAGCTCTTCCATTGCCTCACCAAGAGAAGATTCTAATCTTGCAGCCCTTCACTTCTGGGTGGGAGAAAGAGAAAACAGTAAGTATACCTTCTCTATCTTAGGCCTTTCACAGGATTTCAATATGAATGATTCTAAGCCACACAACGCCACTCTACAAGAGCTTACAAATTGCTAAACTTTCCTGGATCACTGAAAAAATAAACATTATTATATTTGTCAGGTTTGCCTAACTAGATGTTGCTATTTATAAGGGTTTTTTTTTTACAAATTTAACAAAAAAAAAGGGGGCATGTTAATATATAAGTAATCTTCAACTTACTGATGAGATGTGTCCTGAACATTTATAAGTCAATGATTTGGAACTTGGAATGCCTTGCTCCATAGAACTGTGTTATATATGTGGTGGTCAAGTTTCTGGGCCAGTCTACAAAGGCTGATTTAACCCACATGGAGTAGTTACATTAGAGCTCTGGCAGAGGTCCTAGGTCCTGAGAGCAGAAGGAAAAGCATGCTTTCTTCCTATTATTTGGGTCCAAAGAAAACCCAAAGCAAAGGTTTAAAAGTGGGGTAATCTAAACTGACTTTTCCACTCTCATACTTGTTTTCAGTCTTCTCCCATCTCCCAGGGATCCATTGCTCTTGTCCCAAAACCTCCACTATGACCTTCCTTCTTTTCTTCATAACTGCCAAACTTCCTCATTTCTCCTGGTCCCAATCAAAATGAAAGTTCCAAGTTCTCCTGAACATCCAGCTCAGTTCACTTCCACTCTGATATGAGTGATTAGTCCTCCCTTGCCCTCCAAAAGGTACATCTATGATTGAAAGGCTCATTAACCCCAAATGAAGCCCAGTTGGTGAAATTTTAGGGAAAGTAACCAGATGAAGTGATAACCTTTAGGAAGGTTTGGAAAGTGGTGGATATTTGGGGACATGAGGAAGGAGATACTAGGTAGACATCAGGGCCTTGCCTGAGAGGCAGCCACTGCAGTCAGTTCACCAAAGCTGTGTCCCTATCACAACATCTCTTTTTCCTTCCTGTATGACCCCAGAGGGCTCTCTAAAGGTTTCAAATTTTCCCCTAACAGCTCCCATGACAGCAACAGCATATGAGAGATAGTCATTGGTGTTGTGGGTCTTTTGCAAGTTGGATCTGTCTCATTATGAGTCAGCCTAAAAATTCATAGAACATTAGCAACATTGTGGAATAGGTGATGTTACTGGATGACATCAACATAGGACATTTAATGAGAGATGTGAGATGTCTGAGAGCTCTTGGAATTAGGGCAAGCCTTCTGATATTTGTCAAGGGTACTCTTCTTGAGGATTTTTGTGATTTGCAAAGCCTGCCAAGGCCACTGTGGTCAATTAACATGTTGATTAAAGTATAAGTGCTAATGAGGCTAAGACCAGAGGTCAAATCCACTTTGGGGCCAATTGGCTTCAATCTGTTCCATATACTCACAGTCCACAGAAGCTTGCCCTCTGTCAAGGGGGTCCAGATGAGTGTGTATAAATTGCCTAAGTCACATCCATCTGCAGTGCTGGGGAAGCATTAGAAAGCACACAGCCAATGATGGTGAGTCAGCTGCAGTGTCTTCTGCAAATTCCAACACATTCTTAGGAATGGATAGGTTCTTACACAGTACTTGCAATGCCTATGCCACCCTACCAAAGGGGAAACCCTTCAAGAGCTTCCAAAAACTCGCCTGCTGTGAGAGAAAGATAGAGAGACAGAGAAAGAGACTGTGTGTCTATGTGTATTTGTATGTTTCCTTCCCTACAGGAAAGAACGTTCCTGGAAATTAGGTGAATGTGTGTCCCAGCTGCCTATCTACTTGTATTTACCAATAGGAAAAAACAGAGCCAAGCTCCAGGATTGCAGGATTGCAGGATCCTACATTTTGCAGGATTGCAAAGGGTGTTATAGGGAGTTTCAGGGGAGCCACAAACTCAGTACAGAAGCCTTTCTGGAGCATTATGACTTATAGAGGGTACCTGTGATAGTTGCAGAAATGAAGATGCACTGGGTTTCCTTGGGAGAGAAAGAGTTATAGAGATCTGACAAAGTCAATAGAGGCTAATGGGAAAATAGGAGGTATGTGGATGCATTTGGTAGTTGCTGCTACAATTGTGATTATTCTGAAACATGCTAAGAAACAAGGGAGCAGGAATGTGTGGAGATGCCCTAATGTTTACTTTAGAAGCTTGTGATTTCCAAAAATATGTGGAGGGAGAAATGAGTACTAGGGTCAAAGTCTCCATAAAAGAGAAAATAAGAGGGGCGCCTGGGTGGCGCAGTCGGTTAAGCGTCCGACTTCAGCCAGGTCACGATCTCGCGGTCCGTGAGTTCGAGCCCCGCGTCGGGCTCTGGGCTGATGGCTCAGAGCCTGGAGCCTGTTTCCGATTCTGTGTCTCCCTCTCTCTCTGCCCCTCCCCCATTCATGCTCTGTCTCTCTCTGTCCCAAAAATAAATAAACATTGAAAAAAAATTTTTTAAAAAAAGAGAAAATAAGAAAGAACGATAGAGAAGGGATGCTGATAGGAGCCCCAGAAGGCAACAGATTCCTCAAAGATAAATATATGGGGAGAATTCTTGATAATTAGTCTGTTGTTGCTACTGGAATCATACCATTCTAGTAGGGGAGGAGGGATGGGGGAAATGGTCCTGAATTCAAGCCAGGCAGTCAAGGTGTAACCAGTCTTATTTTGGTTGGCAATGACAACCTCAGAAGCGCTCAAGCATGCCACCAGAGGAAATGACATAACATCCCCTCAAAGATGGTCTCGCCAATGGATCTTGGGGAAATAAGATCATCATAATATTGCTGTGTTGCTTAGATAGATGTGAATCTACAAAGACCTGAAGTGGCTCATCATGTGGTCCAGGTACTCAACAATGAAACAGACAGGTGCACCTGCCTGATTAACTGGATAACGAGGCCAGCCTTGTTTGACATTCAAATATGTTATCAGTGCGGGAGGCAAAGGTCTCTCTCAGGAACAGGGCAGCTGACCTCCCTCAGATGCAGCTTGCTCTGCAACAGGCCTCCCGACTAGGTTTTTGCTCAACTCAGTGGAGCTTGGAAATTCACCAACTCCATCACACTCTGCCAACCGAGTGTAGGCTGAGACTGGCACCCATGCCAAAGGGAGCCCCAGCGTTGAAAATTTGGCAAGCTCCCGTGCTCTGTTTTCCTGCTGGCCATTACCTTATGGCTTGTTTCTCACCAGCTGCCTTTCTGCTTTTCTTCTTTGGAAGGCTGCAATCTCCACTGGTTGCAGGCCATGGCCTACTTGCCTGTGGGGCAGGAAAGACACAAAAATAGTGAAGAGAGTGAAGCAGAGCCAGCATGGGAAGACTCTAATTAAGCCAAAACTCTACTTACCCATCTTTGCCCACTGGTGGGGGCACAGGAAGAGGTTTTGTGAAGCCTTTTTTTCCAACCAGCCAGAAGGTCTCTTCTGTGCCTTTGCCCTTATTATAGAAAATACACAAAATCTTAAACACACTATAACTGATTTTCCTAAAGATGTCCTTATGGTCAATGGGGTAGAAGCACTTAGTTTGGTTCAGAAATTGCCTCTGCTTTCCCCTGTCACCACTCCCTGGAGTCTTCCTTCCTACACAGCTTTCTTGCTATTTATACCTGAGGCTCAGGCATGCTCCATAAGCTGACAGAGCATGCAGGTGAAAAGTGAACACCACCACAAGCTGTCATCCAGATGTTTTGTCTACCCACTGCCACATAGCTCCATCTTTGGGATGTGTGGCTCTTTGGCTTCATAGTAACCAAACTTCTGAATGCTGAATTCACGATTTTGTTTCTCATTTCTGCCATTATGTTTTCGCATTAGGCATCCTGTTGTCTTTCATATCTAGAGTACGTATATTCAGAGTCTACCTCCCCAAAGTACTCGCCATCCAAAAGCTCTCACAAAACCCCCAAAATGGAATAGAAATGGAAAGCAAGATGTGCAACTTTAAAGACCAGGGCATCCTGGCTGCTATGAGATGTCTACATTTCTGTAGTGTTCTTTTCTTCTTGCGAAGGCATTCTTACAGGTAGAGAGAGACCCCAGAGAGGCTTCCATCTACAGCCCAATTCCTTAGTTGTCAAGAACCATGGGTCTGAGAAGAGAAAGAGGGTGTAAACTCCAGCTGATCACCCGAGAGCCTATGTGATGACCTCAGAGGAGCCAAATTTTCTGCCTCTGCTTTGCCCTCTCCTCTTTCCAATAAACCCTCCTCTCTGTGTTTCACTCTCCTCCTTTCAATTCTCTTTTGTCTGTTTTCTCATTGCCTCCAATCCATAAGAAAAAAAATGTGTTTACTAAGACTGAGAAAAGTAATGGGATGTGTTTCCAACTCATTAATCTGAAATATGGTCTCACTCTTGGCTGATCTCATTTGGCACAGTTCTAAATTATTTAACTTAGAAATTCCAATTAAGTTTTCCCCCCTTTAAATATCAAATCCATTGTTTTCTATTTTACATCACATATATTCATTCCTTAACAATAATGACAACAACCATAATAATAATAAGCATGTTTAATGGGAGACTCTCAAAGCATTTTGGAGATATTTGGTTCAAGGCTCTGAACAAGGTCAGTATAGGAAAGTAGGAAGAGAATACCACAACAGTCCAAGTTGGCAACCAACTCACCCTAAACCTCAAACAATTGGGCTGTTTGGAGCCACTCTGTTTTCAGAAGAAGTGAACAACTTTAAAATATACTCATATCACTCATTCTTACATTTATGCCATCCTTACTGTACCAGGTCTGGAAATACAGAGATGGGTCTGTCCTTCAGGAGCTCACAGTATAGTTAAAAACACTGTCAGGTCATGCTGTGGGCTCTAAATACAAGCCCAACTCTTCTGCCTCCTAAGCTGTCTTCCTCACAGTACCTAGTACAGTGTCTCATACAGAACAGTTGCTCAGTAAATAGACTGTTCAATTAACTAAAAAACTCAACCCTTGAGCACTTGGAATACTCAAGGTGTCATTTGACCTCTTTGAGCTAAAGCATGCTTTTAAAGCTCAAACTTGAGGATCCCAACCCCCAGGCATATTTGGCTGTTTTTCTTGAGATCTAGAGGCTATCAGGACAGCATGCCAATCCCCAAGGGAGCTTTGTAGATGCCAGGATCGTCCAGATATTTGGGTGAGTCCTGCGACACACTGGGATGCCAAAACTAATGCTTGCAAAAGAGAATGGGAGTGTTATGGACTCAGGCAAGCTTCCAAATGAAAGAGTATGCAGTGGAGCCCCAGGGGCTCTCTGAGGTTTTGGAGCCCATCCAGGAAAATTCTTAGAATCCTAGCTTTGTTTACCCACCCTACTTCCAAAATTCTGCTGAAGATAGAGAAAGGTGGGGGACAGGGGACAAGTATGCAACAACCAAAACCTAAAGAAAACCCTTTGACTTGGTATCAATCCCTAGGCAGTCACAGAGACCCTCTCTCCTAAATAATAGCATCTTATTTTTGGCCTGACACCTTTAACACACTGTGGCATCTCCTGTGTTTTTTTAATTCTCACAAAAACTCTGGAAGGTGGGTTTATTATTAACCTCATTCTGCAAATAAGGACACTAAGTTTTGTGGAAATTGAATGACTTGTCAATAAGTAAACATAGGTAGAACTTGAAACCAATTTTACTAGACTCCAAGTTTTATTTATTTTCTTTTTACTATTACTTAGCTATTTTTTATTGAGGTATAAATGACACATAACATTATATTAGTTTCAGGTGCACAATATGATTCAATATTATAAAATGATCATCGCAGTAAGTCTAGTTAACGTCTTAGACTCCAAATTTTAAATGCTCTTCCTTCTATACCATAGAGCTTTTCCAACACACTGGAGTCAAGGGACAGGTCTAGAGGCCAAAAAGCAACCGTTAGGAATTTTAAACCTTGTGATTAATGAGCTTCCTGATAATCACACACAAAAAAGAGGCCTCTATGTGAAGAAATGAAAGCACAGAGAAGATAAAGTCCAATGTCACACATTGAGTCATTGATGGGACAAGAATTACAGCCCAGACCTTCTGACCTTTGTGACTATGTCAATACAATCTCATTACTTCTTAGCTTGATGGCTGGTGTGTGTGTGTGTGTGTGTGTGTGTACGTATATGTGTGCATGTGCTTACACATGTGTATACTTGTGTATGTGTGTGTAAGGGGTTGAGGGTAGGGGTGAAAGAGGTTGGGGGTAAAAAAAGAAATCACAAGTAAAACAAGACTACTGCTTAGGGGTCTGCGAATCAAATACTATTTAGCCCCAGAATTCAGAGACAAGGTCACAGGTGTCCACCTCCAGCAAGGACAAACTGGCTGAGAACAACCATTTGGGAAAGTCTTTTTATAATGTAAATCTACTTAAGAAGCCCTAGTAAGGGCGCCTGGGTGGCGCAGTCGGTTAAGCGTCTGACTTCA